AATATTGATGGAAAAAAACAAAAAAAAAAAATTGTTACTTTAATAATAATTCTAATTTATTTTAGTACACATAGATTTGTCAAAGTGAAAAAAAAATCACTTAAAAGAACGTTTTTTACACGCAACTGTTTTTGTTGTTATTGAGAAACAAATGGATAGTAATACTCTCCGCGGGGCGTATAATATACAAATAGTAAGTTGTGTAACAACTAATAAAACGCTTCGGCGACGAGATTTTTTCGACAATACGTCTTATCATCATAGATATAAGGCGCTCGTGACCTAAATGGTAACTGAACGCATTGAAGCTATAAAGAAAAAATTTGTTGTACTATAACGATAAAAACAAATAAATACATATTTTTAGGGACAGTACTAAAAAAAGATTATACATAACACGTCTTGAGACTTACACGTCACACTGCACGCTGGCCGCGGTGTACAATTATTTGAGAGTTACTGAGCAAACGTAACGTTTTGTGAACGGTTGATGACTTCGAAAATAACGTGATGCCACATATAATTAGCTATGGTTTATTAGCAATAATTAGTTTAAGAATTAAACGAGTAATTTTTTTTTGCTGCTACTTTATTATGAGTCCAATATTATTATATTATTCGTGTGTACGAGTATACCTATATACAACGATATAGTAAAGTTTTATGACTAAAATAATTAATTTAAAATTTAATTTTTATCAAAACAAAACTTTGACTGGAGCTGCTGGAATATTATCGTGTTAACAATTGAATAATAATTAATAAATGCATATTATAGTTTTAATTTCAACCCCACTCGACACTCCATTGTCGTCTAATACCTCTATACGAATTATGATAATGCGTTGATAAAATTACCTCGTTTCCCTGTAATTTCCAAGAGCCTTAGTAGTTTTGATGGTCATCCTACGATAAAAATGAATATTCATTTAAGTCTCGTTCGTGACCTTGTTTTAGTACTGTGTGTAGTCGTGGACAAAATTAAAAATATTTAACAATAAACAAGTTTCAATAATATTACATAGTATGTATTGATATTTTTTAAAACTATTTGAGGCGATCATTTTTATAATTTTTTTTTTCAAGTCGTTATACACCTAACTTGGAGAAACATCAGCCTTTTTACATGCACACCTGTATTTATATTTCGGGCCCTTTTAATATTTCACCGCTCTAACTAAAAAAAATAATTCATACAGGACTTTAATTAATTTTAGACCTCTATAGTCTCAGTTGACACTCCGTAATACTAATTCAGCATAATATTACACGTCATTTTCTGATGATAAAATTACGTTCCTAACCATATTATTTACTATAAACACTCACGCTTTTAGGTGACGAGTCGGAAGGATAACTGTGTTAATATAGAGTATTGAAATAACTAATAAGTACCTACTAAAGTACAGTGTACTTTAATATTTCAATTTTTTTTTAAATTTAATTTCAGCCTATTACAGAGAGTGCAAAGTATAATATTGCTGCACCAGTGTATTGATCTTTTAAAGCATGCTTCTATTGATAATATTAAACTATTACACTTCATCGCCAACAACGGGGTTCTTTAATATTTCATTTTTTTTTTTTTTTTTTTTCATTAAGGTCTACTGCAGGGAGTGTATAGTGCCACATATTTAGATATATAGCTGCACTAGTGCAGTTTTGAGCTTTTACAACATGCATTTATTGATAATATTACACTGTTAAGCTTCATCGACATCGCCGGTGTCCGGGGTTCTTTAATATTAAAATTTTTCTTTTTCTTTAATTTCGGCCTACAGCAGAGAGTGCGACATGACGTATTATAGCTGTACCAGTGTATTGAGCTTTTAAAAAATACTTCCATTGATAATAATATAACACTATTACACTTCATCGCCTTCGCCGGTATCCGGTGATGGTGCTTTTTTCGGGAAACGTTACAGCTCGTTAAACTATTACTGTAGTAAGCTGTACTAACGAGCTACGACCGGGAAAATAATATTAACGAACTACTGCCCAATTTCACGTTAACGATAATCTAATAATGAACCGAATTATAAGTATTTTAAAGGGCGACAGTAAGTATACGGTTTAATAAGTTTAAATAATTTTAATCTTCTCTGCAGGATTGTATAAACACTATAAACATTCGCACTCCGTCACTCCCGAGATATTATAACAAAATGTACTCTAAAGGAAAACAGTAAATGCATTTAAAAATAAGTAATAACTATTATTATTGAATTAAGGACTATTATTATTGTTCGGCGAAATTATTTTCATGGTATAACGAATATCGTTTAATGTTCAATAAATGTTATTGTTTTATATTTAAATTAAAAAAAAAGTGGACAGTTAGTGGGTGCCGGTCTGCTGTACAATGTACAGTAATTATCGACCATGTCATTGTAATGGATATGTGATATATTCGAATACAATGATAAATCATTGCATATAAATAACGACTCCGAGCTGAGAAGTAGTGTCGTCCAGCATACTTGTATAAATATTAAAAATTTAAAAATAAATTCGAAAATATCACATGCCTATAGATAGCGTAACTTTCAGGTGTATTTTTTTTTTGTTTTTGATAAAGGTAGACAAACTTGTAGCGAACATTTTATTGACATTTCTTATGTTAGCTATATGAATTTATTTATATGTTTATGAATTTCTAACTGATAAATAATTTGCAGATTTTCGGGATTTTGATGAATTTTGTAAAAAAAAAAGTGCCTATATGTATCTTTAATATTTTTGAACTGCTATTAGAACAACTTATGAGGAACGTCGCATTAATATTTTAAGATTTTTCACTAAGTGAAAATGTTTGTATATCGACGGTAATTTCATAAAAAAATTTCCAAAATTCGAAAACGTTCTCAAGCCTTTAAATAGCTCAAAAAGAGTCAAAATATGTCAAAAATGTCACCATACATGGGAAATATTAATATAAATATTTGGTGAAGAGTGTCTACAATTATTAATTTTTGAGCAATAACAAAAAAATTAAATCAATTTTTTCAATAATTACCAATTTTTCATTTTTTTTTTTTTTTTGTTCTTCCTGACGCTCCCTGACACTTACTGGTAATCTTTAATTTTTTTCCCTTCAAAAGTACCAACAAGGTTTATTTTTCTATTAGAAAAGATGCTAATGGATCATTTTTACTACCCCAAATGTTGATGTCATACAGAAAAAAACTCACATCATAATAAATACAATACATTCATCGCTATGCTCAGAATCTAAAAATCTGATAACTATACTATATAAATTATTATTGCTGAATACTTGAACCTTTATTATACTGTATACAATCACATAGTATCATAACCACTGTGGTCGTAATCATTTCGTTTATCAGATTTTCAACAACTTTTCGACTACAATTTAACTTAATAACATTTAGGTACAACATTATGATGTAGTGAAATACCATAATAAAAAAAAACATCCATATAGTATAATATATTTTATACTGACTCGGATCAGCTGATGATTACAAAAAGTTTGCAGACATTTTCAAAAACCAATGTTTACATAAATGTAAGAAAAATATTGTGAATATGTAAAGTGAAAACAAGAATAAAAAATGGTTCATCTCCAGTTTCCGAAAAACGTTACATTAACGTAATGCACCGGCTATTGACAACCGTTAATAATATTATTCGAATATCTGTATGAAAACTTTCACATTTTATGCGTCTAATTTTAGATATTGACTGTAAAAAAACAAACCAATTACGTTAAATGTTAAACGGCCATATTTGTGTAGTTATACGTACCCAATATTTTATAGATCAATTAGGTAGAATATAATATGATTAGAAAATAAACGTTTATTCCATAAATTATAGTTACAGCAAATCGTTTATTTAAATTTTAAATAAATAAAATCTTTTGCCGTTTACATACATATTTATATACATGGCATAGTAATAATGTTTATGTTTTCTATCGTTAAATGTAGGTACATACATAGGTAAATAATAATATTATGTTAATATATATATTATAATAAAATATATCAAAATCAATTTCTATGCTAATGAGTATACCTACCTACTGACTAACGTTACCCTGAATATCACACATAATAAAATATAACTTTTCAAAAGGTGTCATATTTTATATTAGGTATAAAATATGTCGAAATAATATATCAGTTCACGCCAGTGATATCAATAAAAAAATGAATAGGTAACTCGTCGACAACGCGATGGTTCGAAAGTTCACAGTGAAGAATTTATTCGATCGTGAAACTAAAGCTGTACCCACAATACGAACGATTAAAATACATATAATATTATGCATCGCACAAAGCAGTACACGGGGCACCTCTATTCATTTACATTATTCATCTTCGTGGTTTATATTAAATAATAATAATAGAAAGTATTACACAGCGACGAGTAATATAATTATTAATTGTTTCAATATTGACTGCAGGTACTACAATTATTTATTTATTTTGTACCTACTCTATAGTCACCGTAGTTTATTACTTCACTCTTTGGGTGGGTAGTTTATTATACTGCGCTGTATAAATTCATCGAATGCAATAGCTAAGAGCAGCCGTACACTTAGCAAAATAAATAGACGTTTTAATTAATGAAAACAACAAGACTAATGTGCGTCGTTAACTCATTTATTCGACGCGTCGAAAGTGCCCGTGCGAGTAGAGCGCCTCCGATATTATGACCACGACTGCGGTGTTACGATTATATGGTTACTTACGCGGTATTAACACTGTCTACCTAACCTAATTAACAGGCGACTAATACTCCGATTATTTCTGCGGCCATATCTAGTGAAGCTATTGGAAACGGATAAGAAGATGATAAAAAAAAAAAAATTAAAAAACGGACTTAGTGTGCATTATTACATTATTTTTATTTGAACGACCTGCGATCGTATCCGGTCGGTATAGCTAAGAGTGTGTATAACGAATATTCGATGGTTGGTGGAACGAACGGCTTCTTGGCGGGTGTGGGGGAGAGTAGAATGCTGTGGATCAACACTCGAGGTCTAAATACGATACCAATGACCTGGGCACGGGTAACTGCGGTATGCCGTGCGGTAGATTGAAGTTTTGGTGCAACGCGTTGCGCACGGCGCACCTGGCCAGGTGCAGCAGTGTCGGCGGTACCGGAACGACTTTGACGCCGCTGTTGCCGCATCCTCCGTAATCGTCGCTACTACCGTACTCGCCGCCGCAGCGGTCCTCGTCGCCACTGACACTGCAGCGACCGCCGCCCTCGCAGGCGACGGCCCTGAGTAGCAGTTCCAGACACGACTGGACGCGATCGGGGAACGGCGGACCGCGGTCCCGGTCGGCGGAACGGCGGCGCAGGTACCCGATGGCCGCGCGCACCGACCGCTCGTCCGGGCCGTACCGCAACAGCATGGCCACGGCGGCCACGTCTCCCGTGGCCGCGGCCACCATGACGGGCGCCGCCCGGTACGACCGCATCCAGACGTCCTGCATTCGGCGGCCGTCAAGCCGGAGTCGCGCGCGAGTCGCCCGGTCCATGTAGAATCCCAGCGCGGTTCGGTTTTCGGCGACGGTGGCCCCAGAGTCCGTCCACCGGCCGCTGATCATGCGCGCCACTTTGCTGCCCACCACGGCGCCCTCGAAAAGCTTTTCCAAGGTTTTCTCGCACCTGCAACGGCACATTTAAATAATGATAATTATTATTATAATAATAATACGGTTTTCCGCTGTACCATGGTCGTGTTAAACATAAACATAAACATAAATCACAGACTAAGATAATACAGAGGGCTGGCGTCGTACAGGCTGGGGGAGTTGGGGAGAAATGTAAGTATCAAATGTCATGCCGCTTCCTTTTCGTCAAAATAAAAACCCACCGATTTCAACGCTACCTACATGCATTATTTTGGAAATATTATAATTTTCAAATAATAATTTATTAATTATTAATCAATAAATAATACATAGGTATTACCTAATATAACCTAACTATTATGTTTATTATTATAAAAGGAAAAAATTAAAATTAAATTTGTTATCAATTAATTTTAACTATTATTTTATCGGTCATCTACATAGCATGTAAAAATCAGAAATTTTTTTTAATCCCCTGGACTCCTCTCATGCGTATAACATTTTCGAATAATAGATTTGCACTCGATGCCGGTCCAAGACATGGAAATAATGATATTCGTATAACTGTTCATGTGACTTGGATTTAAATGCAAATACATAGTATTATTGTAGACATTTGACTTGAAACCACTCTGGTTAGTAATCTTTACATACGTTTCATGATGACGCGACGTGTTGAATATTCTTGTATATAGATTAAATAATAATATTATATTATTGGCATACTATATTATTATTCTAACGTTCATAGCTACATTATTTTTTTTTTTTTGCATATTCGAAGTTATAACACATTAAACGCATATTTCTACCAATGACAACGACATAAAAAGTTGCATGCGTCGTAAATATCCAAGGAAATATTTATAAGTATAAGGAACTTACACGTCTCTACACAAGACTGTGCTTTGCAATAACGATTACCTACTACAAAAGTCTACTGTGAGAAAATTTAAAAACTATTTTTGTAACATCCTGTTGATACTAATTTTAAAGGCAAGACAAAAATAATGTTTATACATACTACACCTATTAATAATAATCATATTTTGGCAATTACATTTTTTTTTAATTTTAAATTATCGCAATTATTGTAAATTATAATAAATATATATGTGCTAATAGTGGGATCAGTTTTTTTAAAGACAAAAAAAAAATTATTAACTGTTGCTTGTATACCTATTAAAATGTTCTTTTTGTAAATTTTGGTGGTATTTTTAATATCATAATACTTACTTATTTGTATTGTTTTGCATATAAATCTTGGCCCTATATTCATATTAAATCAGGAGTGTATCATTTGTATTATTTTTTTAGGGTAAACCGCGGGAAAAGTGTAATACGTGATGTAAGTTGATTAACATAAAAAACTATATACACTTACTACTTACGTAAGTCGTGTTTTGAGTAGGGGCAGAGAAAGGGTTAACACGTCAATTATCAATAGATTACGTTAGGCAGTGTGATAGTACCAACAATAATAATTATTATTAGGGTCAGATGACTGTGGGACATGACTTGTACAACGGCAGCAGATTACCGCAAAAATCTATATACCGTACAGCATAATCGTTGATACCTAATCAATAATGGGATAATAATATTGGTACCGCACTATACCGCATATCATTATTATTGTCATAGGTTACACATTTTAACACGTCTGCGTTTAAAATATTTCGTCGGGGCAAACCGCGGGCAAAGTGTAATGCGCGTGTGTGTTGTACGGCGTAAAAAATCGTGTGCATACTTACATAAGTTGTGTTTTGGGTTGGAGCAGAGAGAGGGTTAAACACGCCCTAGTAGTTATTTCGCATCCTATATAATATTGTTATATGCATTTTTACGGCTTTCCGAGCAGCCTGGACATAATATTATACACATAGGTAATGCGCACGTACCACAACAATAATATAATATTCGTAGTTATCGTATTCGTATAATATTATTATGATATAAGTCGTAACACCGACCGCGACGACCCGTAACGGGTGTGGGCCAGTGGGTCAATAGGTGATCGTCCGGTGGTGGTCAGGACCGGGTTTTGATTTTAACTCGATTGGCGCCGCGCCGATGCCAATCGAAAATTATCAATTTCTCCGAGGTTATATTGTAACTAATTACGCGTTTATAATATCGTTATTATATTATTATCACGCTCGTTTCCGCAAGTAGCAATCCTGCACTGCAATATCCTACACAAACGACTCGGAACCAAACCACAAAAATCGCTTTATATACCATATTTTTTTTATGATTATTATCGTATGTTTAGCCGGTACGCGTGTAAGACTACGTGATAACTACGTTCGAATGAACCTTAATAGTGTATCATTATATTTTATGGATCAGAGCCGAAAGTCTAGTAGATATAATATGTAATCACAATGTGTTATCCGCGGCCGTGTTATGATCAGTTGTATTGAAAAAAAATCGATTAAAATAACATTATAATATTCTCCGGAATGAATATTATAATATTATTTACAAACTAATTAATATTGAAAACAATAATAACATTCTCTGATTATTATAATATTATAAAAGAAAAAAAAGAAATTGGGCATGAATCGACAGACTTAAATTATTAGATAGGTAGTCGTTTTGCTAAAACGTTAAATCTGCTATGATAAAATAAAAAATGTACATAAAATAACCAATAGACCAAATACATAAGACGAAGAGTAAATATTCAAAAGTGAAACCCAATATCTCAAATTCTAAGTATTTTACCGTTCAGTAGTTCGTTGGTATAATGGTGGTATAGGATATAGCCGATACAGGAGGAACAATGACCGAATAATTGATTCCAATTTCAACTTCACAAAAACGTTTTTGTTTTAACACGGTCATACAACCGTAGACGAAAAAATATATATATATTCAACACATTACTTATTATACCAGATTAATATACATATTATATTTTATTTCATCGAGTCTTAAAGTTAGTATAAATTTATTTTGTTTTGAATAATGTATTTTGGAAGTCGTGTTCTTATTAAAAATCACTTATGATTTAATATAATTATGATACAGGAACATTCAAGGAAACAACAATTTGTAATAATATGCATTGACATTTATTGCCTGTGTGAAACATTAATATATTGCACTGTTATAATAGGTACTATATTAATGAAATTAATTTATGTAAAATGCTTTACTAAGTGTTACCAATGTAATATGTGGTACACAAAAGCAGTTTTTAAAAAAACATTAACATACATTACAAATGTAAAAAAATACATTCAACATATTATGTGTATAATAAGTACTACATAAAAGTTAACTAACCAATAAGAAATCTTTAGAATGCGTAACTAATGAAGTTGTTTAAGAAACATTCATAAAAAAAATTTAAGGTACGGTTTAAAATTATATTTATATAATTTTTTTTAGGTGACAACATAAAAAATTAACGATACTAAAGGCAATGCACAAGTTAAGATACTCGTAAACAAATCATTGTAATCAACTTTTACTTAAATTTAAATAACTCTTATGGCGTTAATTCATAAATATAAAATTAAAATGTATCTAAATTAATATAGTATCTATCTATTAGACAATAAAAGGTAGGTATACTGTGAAGTTTAATATCGTAATAAACATTAAACTACTTAAAGTTTTAAATGGCGGTTGATAAGAAGTTAGAACAAATGTCTATATTTTTATACTTAACTACCTATACTTACTATTCGTAAAATGTCTTTTCAACCAGAACCCAATGGAAGGTCTGAGTTTAGTTTTGTAGGACAACAAATTATATCAAAGTATTAGAAATTAGAATACTTAACGGTTATTTTGTAATCGAAATCTAGCAATAACAAGTACAATAATAATTGAATATCAAATATTATAGCTGACCAAACACTTGTATACAATATTATTTACCCACACAATGTGGTTTTCATAATTTTAATGTAATCTAAGCTAACCATTGTGGGTGTATACATTTACTCAAATCATAGTTACAGTTCTAAATAGTACCTAACTATGGGATAATATAATATTATGGAATATAATACCTATATTATAGTTTTTTGATGATTATCGTTTTCAAGGATTTTGCTTTCTTGAATATATCTAGTAATATCTATACTTCGTTAGTCTTAGTCGCAGGATGAATAGCAAAGTTGAATTTTATCATAAATCCAAGGATACAGTTCATTAAGTATGTTCACATTTTTTACAAAAATAAATCCATTATACCTGCTTATAAGCGCATGAATGTTCTTAATACTTACGATTAGCCTCTAAACACGAGTAAGTATACGTTTTATTTCGAACACACCATACAAGAAACTTGCGCTATAATATTAATAATGTAATAAAATTCATTCAAATCATACAATAGATACCACAAATACAAGGATCTAAATATTTTTATCATAAACACAACCGCTGACTCATTATACTTTATAGGTAATTTACTTCTAGACCACCTTAAAGTTAAAAACTGATGAAAACAGTAGGTATAAATTAAGTACTCGCGACAATCGTTCTTTTTTACAACAAGAATATTTTATGATAATTGATCAGAGTACTTGCACATAAATTTTGCTAAACATTATTTGGCCAACTATACCGTGACCATTAATGCTGTTTATAAGTTTAACTATACCTACCTACTTAATAATGCTCGACAAATTATTTTATTGTGATTTTATACATACAATTATGTATATTATAATGTATAACGTGTATACCTATATATATATAAATATAATATACAATCATTTTATTTTTATAGTAAGAAGTAATAACCAGTAGGCAATAACCGGTAACCAATGAACTGGGATGAATAAGGCGCTTGTGTATTAAAATTAAAATTGACCTATTTGACTTCTACGCAATTTAAATAAAACATTCATATACAAGACGTTAAGTTTTTAACCGAATGGGAACGAAAGTAAGACTAAAAATACTATAACATTAATAGTTCCGAGAAATTGTAGGTCATATTATTATTATAAATGCACTTCCGGACCATGAGCTACGCGGTACCTACACAGAATTATAACTACCTATACGGACACAAGTGT